TTTTTTAAAAAAAAATAAAAATTGAAAAGGTGGAAAAAAGGATGGAAAAGGTGGAGTAGGGACTCGATGTAGTCTAGTGGTAGTGTGCTTGCCTAGCGTGTGTGAGGGTCAGTCCCCAGAGATGGAAGGAGGAGGAACTGTTTGGAAAACGTTACTCCATTCCATCCCTGTATCAAATGCTAAGACTGCTTTGAAGCAGATTTCCAGATTATCTTGAGTTTGTATAGAATACAAATGTACATGACTGCTTATGGTGGACATTGCCTAGACATGGTTTTAATGAGTTGTGTTGGCGGTCTGTAGATTCTTGTTTTTAGAAAAAGGCTTCCATGATTTTCAGTAAGGAAGGCTGGAGGTGGCTGAGGCTGAATGGCTCATATTAATTCAATGTTTGATCCTAGTAATTGTCAGAGGAAATTCCCTTTTAAATCTCTGTCCGTGTTACTATGACAGCTGTTGATCTTTGAATACATTTCTTATCCTGGTTTCATACCTAGAGCAAGTAACCTACCCAACTGGCACTGTTGCCCTATGGAAAGAGAGAATGGGTTGGGGAAACAGATCAGCAGGTAAAGGTGCTTGCTGCCAAGCTGGATAACTGGCATTTGATCCTTGGGGCTCACATAGTGGTAGGAGAGAACCAGCTCTCTGGTAAGGTTGTCCTCCTGATTGTCATCTGTGAGTGTTTCCCTAGCCACCCTACTCCACACACAAATGGAAAAGAGGTACTGGGAGTAGGAATAAAGCTCAACTGGTAGAGCATTTGCCTGGCACTGCAGAAAACTGGGTGTGTTGGCACAATCTGTAATCTCACAAGAAAGATAGAGACAGGTGGATCAGAAATTAAAGCTCATTTTCAGCTACAATAGAGCAAGTGCAGGGGCTGGTTTGGGCTACAGGAGACCTTGTCTTAAATAAAGGTGGGAACCAGTGAGGCAGCTAGAGGTACATGCTGCCAAGCCCGAGTTTAATCCCTGGGGCCCACATGGTGAAAAGAGAGCTGACTCCAGCAACTTGTCCTGTGACCACCACTTCTGTGCTGTAGCATGCACACACACAAACACACATGCGCCCAATCAGTAGAAAAATAAAAATGTAATTAAAAAATACTAACAGAAAGGAATGTATAAGCCAGGGTGGTCAGGGTCATCACAAGGTAACTCATAGAAGCAATTGGCTTGTTCATGGGAGCTCAGACTATGACAGAGTAGGAAGCCTGCATAGAACCGGCCTAGGCCCTCTGCATATGTGATGGTCATGTGGCTTGGTCGACTTGTGGGACTCCTAGCAGTGGGGGCGGGGCCTGTCCCTAACACTTTGGCTACCTTTGGGAACCTGTTCCTAATGCTGGGTTGCTCTGCCCAGCCTTAATGCAAGGAGAGGAGCTTAGTTCTACTTCAATGTGATATGCCATGCTTTGTTGGCATTCATGGGAGGCCTGCCCCTTTCTGAACAGAGGTGGAGGAGGGGTAGATTGGGGAAGGGGGACAGAGGAGAAGTGGGAGGAGCGGGAGCTGCAGTTGGGATGTAAAAAATGAAAAAAATTAATAAAGATAAAAGATTAATGGAATATGGAGGCATCACTCAGGTCTCTGCTCTAGTAGTAGGAAGAGTTGGGGATATAGCTTAATGGTGCAGGGTGCTTGCCTAACAACAAGCTATGGCTCTGGGTTCAATCCTTAGTACGAAAAAGAAAAAAGAAAAGTTGACAAGTTCCCTGTAGTCAGTAACCAAAATTCCTAAGTAATTTTAGGAAATCTGACTCTTTGGCATTAATCTTCTCTCAAAACTTTTATTTTTTAGGCTACTGTTGAACAGCTCATGTTTGAAGAGAAAAACAAAGCTCAGAGGTTACAGACAGAATTAGATGTCAGTGAACAAGTCCAGAGAGATTTTGTAAAACTTTCTCAGACTCTTCAGGTGAGGTGTTTGGGGAACTGCCATGGCCCTCTGTGGAAGGGGGGCACCAGTGTAGCTGCAGATCTGATTGCCTCTGCCACTACCTCAAATATCTGCTTATCACTCAAGCACAAGCTTGGTCTGTTACAGATTTGGCCCTCTTCTCCTTTCCCTTAAATATAAGTGGGGTAGGCATTGGAGGGGCAGGATACCAATCTGTTATATAGATGGATGAACTTGGTGAATTCTAAAAGTATGGTTTCTTTTTCTTCCTCTTTTCTTCGAAGAGCATAATCTGTGAATTAATCTGTTGCATGCTGACTAGAATGATCAAAGTAGGTAGGCGTCACTTGCACTCATCGCCACATTGTTTCTCCAGGTGCAGTTAGAGAGGATTCGGCAAGCAGACTCCTTGGAGAGAATCCGGGCAATTCTGAATGATACCAAATTGACAGACATTAACCAGCTCCCTGAGACATGACACCCTGGTAGCAGGATTGTAACCTGCATTTTGGGTTTTTAACTCATCTTTAGAATAACATTAATTATTATTTAACTCTTAATGGAAGACGTCACAGCAAAAGGAAGACTGGAGAAATGCAGGTCTGGAGAGAGAAGGCTGCGTGCGCAGGGGCAGCCACAGATGTTTCAGAGGGAACACTAACAGGACACCGGACTCAGTTCCAACGGTGTGGGATCAGATTGGTGCCAGAAACGTGCTGTTTCCTTGCCTGCTTTCTCCAACGTGGATTCCGGAACACATTTCCTGACATGAAAGCAACTTACCCATCGTGTTTGGAATTACGTTTTCAGTTCATACAAACTGGGAGAGAGAAGTTGTTTTTTTTTTTTTTCTGTTTTCTAGGGCTCATCAGTAGCAGTGTTCAGCTAGCAGAGAGGTGTAGTGTGCTGTATGAGTATTTTATATTAAAATATGAAGTGTGAGAGCAGGCCATTGGCTATTGACTGTATTTCCCTCGCTCAGTGCATATTTTTTCTTTCTACCATTTTATCTTCATTGGAGGACCTTAAATGCTACTGAAACTTGCCTGAGAATTATAGGACCATGGCAAAAAAAGAATTCAACAAAATTAGGAGAATCTGAATACTTGGCTGAGGTTGAATTTAAGTTGAATTTAAAGGAAAAAAGCACAAGAAACCTTGGATGCACTTTCTCTGCACACCGGGATGAACTTCCTTGGCCCACAGGTACCATGGCAAAGGAGAACTGGCACCACCTACCCTTTCCAAGTGTTTTAGTTACTGGATCAGTGGAAAAAAATATTAATAAAACAAGCTATGTCTGACATCTAGTACACATGTATAAATCTGCTTATTTTCAGCCTGCCTTAGAGGCATACAAGTGTCACATTTAAGTGGTGATGGCTTACAGATCTTTGTATGTTTGTTTTACAGTTTAGACCTGTGGTGTAAGTGAGCATGCTTACAGTGAAGCTGAGGAAATTTAGTTTAGAATCAACATGTGGAACAGGTTGTTAATCCCAAACAGCTTTAAAGTGGTGCAGAACTCAGAAGCGTGCCGTGTACTGCTCACCAGCTGCAGGCTGTGCTGAGCACCGGTGGACAGCTAGTTATGCATAACTCATGTGGTTCCTAAGTCACAATGCTTTCAAGGAGTGTGAGTGACTTACAGACGTATCGAAAAGAACTAGACTTTTCACACTTGTCTACCACCAATTCATAACATAAAGGGACTTTGTAGTAATGAGTCATCATGAATTTGCCCTCATGAATTTGCTATTTTCTTTTGTAAGTCTTGTGTTCACGATTAAGAATTTAAAAGTAAATACAAATTGCGGGAATAGTGCTAAAGGCTTGCCAAAGCATGGAAACATTAATTGCTTAAAGTCCCCTTGTATACAGCACTACTTGGTTTAAAGAAACAGTATCCTGAGTTAAAGGGATTTTATTAATTATAATATGATTACATTAGGTTTAGGACTAGTCCTTCAGCTCCAAGCTAATTTGTTTTGGATCACTGCTGGCCACAGTGAATGGGAAGTTCATTCTGAACTGTCACTCCCCATGAGCTGTTCTGCTCAGATCAAGCACTTTCTTTTTAGACAAGGTTTCTCTGTAGCTTTGGTGTCTGTCCTGGAACTATCTCTTGTAGGCCAGGCTGGCCTGGAACTCACAGAGATCCACCTGCCTCTGCCTCCCAAGTGTTGGGATTAAAGGTGTGTGCCACCAACCGCCCGCCTTGAGACCAAGCACTTTACAGACTTTTCTCCAGAAGCTGGGGATTGAGCAATAAAGACATCACGATTAGGGGATGTTTATAGTCTGTACTTGGGGCAAATGCAGACTGCTGGAATCCACTCAATGAGAAACACATCCTAGAAGAACAGCCTGTCTGTGGTATGAAATAAACTGCTGCTACACCACCAGGTAGGAAAGAGTCCTTTAAACGTAAGTGTTCTGCATAAATGAGATCTGCTTTAGAAGGTGGAATTCACCAGGAAAGGAAAAATTTGGTTCCATGCACGTCCAGTGCTGGACTCCATCTGTGCAGACCTTTCTCTTGCATGTCTAACCTGGCTTACCTTTACCTGTAACGTACCTTACCATGCAGCTTCTAATTGGCAGTCACTCAGTTGTTTCTAAGCAGGTACCATACTTACCTTTCAGAACTCAAATTGGCAGGTTTGAAAAGATGATCTAAATGTATATGACAGAACACATTTTTCTTTTCCTTTAAGGTGCTAGAACTTGCACCAGAACTCAGTGAGTAGACATGGCTATAGCCAAACTGAGCTCTGAAAGGCAACGATGCCTTTGAGGAAATGCGCCAGCAGAGGACTCTGCAACTGTAGCAACTGTACGTAGATGTTCACCTCTGCTCTGGGCAGACGGCAGGTGTCTGTGTGTTACTGTACTGAAGGCATGTCCTTAAGAGAGTGTTCAAATTAAAAGAGCTGCTACTGAGTAGACTGTGTGGCCTATTCCTTTGCATCCCAGTTTTGGTTCTGCTACTTAAGATGCCACTCTTATTCTTCAGATACAGGACCTGGCAGTGTGCAGCTGAAGCTGTGTCCCAGAATTTTGAAAAATAAATCATAGACATTAATTATAAAGCAAAGTCAAATTTTGAATAAAAATTTATTCAAATTATACAGAACAAAAGGAATAACAAGAATAATCACACCAAAGTTTATTCAAAATGTTTCTTTATAAATTAGATAGTGCTACCTGTTTGTTTTACAGCACAAGTTTGTGAGCCTTCAGTTGTGTTAACTTCAGGTGGTGTTAGAAGTTGACATGATTTCGGATATCATTGATTTGCTTCACCATTTCCCTGATGTGTTCACCCCTGCAAAATCATCAAATGACTCACTTCAAAAAATGGACAAGCCATTAGTATTGAGTTGTAAGATTTTTTTTTCCGCCCCCAACTCTGAGACAGGATTTCTCTCTGTAACAGTCCTGGCTGTCCTGGAACTCTGTACACCAGGCTGGCCTCGAACTCAGAGATCTGTCTGTCTCTGCCTCTTGAGTACTAGGATTAAATTTGTGTGCCACCATGCCCAGGAGTCTAAGGATTTAAACTCTCAGCGTTGCAATAAACTTAAGAATGGCTTTATTAATTATCTCAATAGCTTAAAAAGGTTTCAGGTAGACAGCAGTGGCTTTTTTGTGTGGTGTTGGGAATTGAACTCAAGGCATTTCACATTAGACAGATGCTCTGCCACTGAGCACATCCCCAGGAACACTGCTAACCATGTCCTTGGGACATACTCTTGATTACACAACAAAATTATATAGGAGAGCCGCTGTTTTTCATCCCACCATATTCACTTAAGCCTCTGTCTATCATGCCCCCATTCTGCAGATAAATCCCAGACTCAGGATTCTTATCCAGACAGACAGGCACCTTTTGGTATATTGCCAAGGAAAAATGTCTCACAACAGTAGCTGACTGGAAAACATCAACTTACTCTTCCTTCAGGATGGACTGAATGCACTTTCGCTGGTAGGCACTGAGAGTAATGGTGGGTCTCTGAGGACTCAGCACTTTTTCCATCTTCCGCTGTTGATAGTCTTTTTTCATAGTAACCTTAAGTATCAAACAGAACACAGGTATTTTGACTATGGTTTACCACACACCTTTACAGTATCTATTTTATTTTTCACATTTTACAGAAATCCATTGGCTACCCATTCTCACCTGTTTGATGGCATTGCCTAGATGTCGTAGTTGGTCAGGTATCAGCTGTAACTCTTTCTTCATGTCTCTCTCACTGTCAGAGAGAACCGGGAGCTGAGTATGAAAACTGTGGAGCACTTTCTTCATCCTTAAGGAAAAGGAAATATGGGTTAAGACTGTGAATTATAACTGAAACACGAGTTTGTAATTCAAGAATTCAGTGTCTGAGGAGTTAGGGGACAGTAAGTACTTCAAAGGGTTGGAGTTCTACTCTATTCTACTCTATAGGTGTGTGAACACTGGCAGTACCTGAGCAGGGTGGGAACTGGATGCTTCATGGCCCACTGACCTGTTCATGATATCTTCTTGTTTTTCTTTGGCTTCCTCATACTTGTCAGCTAAGCGCTCCGCCATTTCCCGTAGACTCTTCCTGAGGGAATGAAGAACTCTTGCGGTCATATGATGTGGCACAGCATCCGGAGGGAGATGCAGTTCACTATTCCCCACTGTTTTCTCCTTTGGTTCTGACACCTACCTCTCCTCTCGACAGTAATTGAGATCTTCTAGTTGTTTCCTCTTTTGGTCACATAATAATTTGACCCTTCAAAAATAAGTATTAGTAAAGGTCAAAGGAAAGCCAGGATTCCACAGGTGATCACACTAAGCCAACCCCTAGCAAGGACTAGTGGTGGCTGTTCAACACAGGACACTACCTCCGTTGAATTTCTTCCTTGGCCAGGTCTTGCTTGAGAATGTACTGTTCTCGGAACACTTGGGTGGCTCTGCTGATAAGCTGAAGACACTCCTCGGGAGGGGGAGCCAAATCCTTTTCAGATGATCTTTAGAACAGTTTCTGTCATTATTCTCATTCGCCAGGTAAAATAACCAAACAGACAAATCCTAGCTACATTGGGGGGGGGGGGGGGGGTTGGTTGTTTTGTTTTCTGAGACAGAGTTTCTCTCTGTAATAGCCTTGGCTGTCTTGCAACTAGCCTTGGAGACCAGGCTGGCCTCACAGATATCCGCCTGCCTCTGCTTCCTGAGTGCTGGGATTAAGGCGTACACTATCACACTGGCAAGTACTAGCCATCTTATCACATTTGTTTAGCACTTTTTCAGGTGCCACTTCTGACTAACTGATGGGATGTGCCATGTCCCCTCCCATGAACCACAGTTAGGACAGAAAGGGCCGAAAGCAAGGATGAACTCTTAGTAGCAAGCACAAAGCCCCATTTTAAAGAAAAAGCCCATTCTTAAAACTCATATGGCCCAAATCTCATACTTGAGAAATGCGGGGTTGGCGGCACTACGTTGCAAGATGCTTTTAATATGCTTCTCAAAGGAGTCTGGGGTTTCAGCCAGGATGCGCAGTGGAGACTCTGCCACTTCAGCATCTTCTCGGGTACACAGCAGGGGAGGAGATGCTGGGTGGACTGTACTTCTGCAAAACAAACAAGCCCACTCTGTAGCTACTTGTTGCATTACAGGATGTCATCAGCCACACTTAGCCAAAATCCAAGGACATGAGGACCTAAAGTACTACTTTTGTAAAAGTACAAGAACGTGTGTTCTGTCCCAAAAAGTCACCTTGGGAAGTTCCTATCTTGTCATTTGAGAATTTTGGACTCTTTTTAAAAATTCTTTTTGAGCTGGGCGGTGGTGGTACACGCCTTTAATCCCAGAACTCAGAAAGCAGAGGCAGGTGGATCTCTGTGAGTTCGAGGCCAGCCTGGTCTACAAGAGCTAGTTCCAGGACAGGCACCAGAACTACAGAGAAACCTTGTCTCGGAAAAACAAAACAAACAAACAAAAAAATTCTTTTTGAAAAGATCAAGGCAACTCAAATAAGTAAATAAATTCCATAGCCCCTTTCTTGCAAAGGACTCAAGCCAGCACTGTAACACTAACCGCTCCTTTTTGGGGAATAGTTTAGGTTGATAAATGCTGGTCTGAGGTCAGATGACTGTTGTATACTATATTTGCTTCTATATAACTATTTCTAAAAATTACAATCAAGGGCAAGTATTTCCAAAGGCAATTTCTGGGAAAGCTCCGAGGACTGTGGACTTCGGCAGTATGCATCATACTTTGAAGACAACAGTTCAAATTTGGAAGAGCTTTGTAAGCAAGAGTGTTAATATACAGACAATTTGTGTTTTGAACAATTGGCAGAAATATGATTAAAAGGTATCCAGCTCATGAAGCATTTTCTCCCCTCTTTGAGACTTATTTTTTATGTCCAAACAGCGCAACTAGGCTTCAAGAAGCAGAGGCAGGCAGATCTCTGTGAGTTCAAGGTCAGCCTGGTCTACAAAGTCAGTTCCAGGATAGCCAGGGGTACATCAAAAAACCCTTGTCTCAAAAAACAAAACAAAAAATAAATACATCATATGGGTTCTGGGGCTTGAACTCAGGTTGTCAGGGTCAGTGGCGAGCACTCTTACCTACTGAGGCACTCACTGGTCTACTGACAAACATTTTTCTAGTGCCTGTTTCTTTAAAGTTGCTAGAATTTTAATATTTTTTTAAATAAAGCAACATAAAATTTATACCTGTATTATTTTTTTCCTTGTCAAACAATGTATCTGGTCAATCTTTAAAGAGTATGCAAGAATAGAAACTAAATGCAGGCATTTTACACTCAGTATTTAGAAGCACCTACTTTAAATGGACACACCAAGAGACTGGAGAGTCTCACATTTGATACTCCATTGCTTTAGTTCTCATGTCTATTTCTGCATTTATAAAACTTGGCCTTCCAAGGCCAAGTTGAAAAAGAAAATGGTGATTACAACTTAATACATGAACTTAGCTTTAGACTCTTTCCCCAGAGTTGCGTATTTTGATGTCCCTCTGAGGCTGGCACAAAGAGAGATAAATTCAGTGCAGAATTTGGGACCAAAGAGACCTCCTCCTGCATCAGAGCTGTGAGCAACCTGTGAGGTGCAAATCTATGCCTTCTTTTATTACATGGAAATCAGTATGTTCCTTAGGGGGCTTCTCTGATGTGTCCAGGAGGGCATGCAGGAGAACACCTTACATCTGGGCCTGACATGAACCAACATTAAATCCAATCACAACATGTAGTTCAGCACCTCAGTCCCCTCTGCAATTAGGAGAAATCTCTAGCTGGGTGCAGGGAATCAGGCTTGTTGTAATCCCAGATGAGGCAAGGACTGCTCTAGGCCAATATGACTAGACTGAGACCCTATTTTACAAACAGAAAAGCTCTCATTCTCAGTTATGAGATGGCAAAACAAGACAACACCACCATGCCTAAAATGATACCTTTCAGAGACAGCTATGATAACAGAAACATCCACTCAGTTCAGAAGCCAAATTATACACCATATAGACAGCCTCAAGCCAGTTACTGAGGGTATTTCCCCAGCTTTGATTTGGCAGAATTAAAGAGAGTTGTGGGACAACACAGAATGAGACATACAATAAAGGCCTTATGAGACATTCATAGGTACTGGTGATGCAGATCATTGTGGGTCCCAGGATGTCCGGGACAATCCAGAATCCTCGAATTGGAGCTGGCTGCCTGGAGAGAGACAATCACAGTTAAGTTACAAAGCAGCAAATGCACTAGAACCAACAGCAACTACATGCCTATAGAGTCCACAGCTTTTTGGGGCCTGTGACATCCTGATGTCAATGTAGTAACTAACAGCCACACACATCGTGATTTGGAAACATACCCTGATCAGTTAATCCAAGCTTCCACTTAATCTATAAGCTATTTACCAATTACCCAGGGATACAGAGCTTCTGTATCTTTCTCCCTGCTTAAGGCCTACCTATCTTGGTGAACCTAGTATATCTACCGACTACAAACTGCTCAGAAACCTAAATGAACAGGACTTTGGGATTTCACGTTACACACCCAGTGATCCCACACTGCCAAGGACCTCATCATTTCATTTAGTTTTGTTTCCTTCCAATTTTCTTCCACCAGAGGTGGGGGAAAAATCCACGGTTCTCAAGTAGGAACTGTTGTCCCCATTAAAAAACTTTACCAACTGGTCTGCATGTCCATTCTTTCTGTCTGGCCATACATTTGCACCTTATTGTCAGTGCCACCTCCTGTCACATCTGGTGTGCCATCAACTGTATAGTTTCAAAAGTGTCTATTATGCATTTCCTCTCAGCTTACAGACAAGCTCCTGTTTTGTTTCATTTTGTCCATTTAAAACATTCCCTACTGTGGCTTTATGGGAAGCTTCACTGCACCCCAGTCTGGCTCCCCTTAACCTGTCCTTTATTTTGTAACAGCAATCTTAATGAGTGTGTAGCGTATACACAAGTGCCTGTTCACACACCTGTGTGTAGGCATAGCTTCATTCTAGTCCCTTGAGCCCGGGTTTCTTTTGAGTGAGGCTAGCAACCAGCACGTCCTAGCTATCCTCCTGGTTCTGCTCCTACAGTGTAGCTGGGTATATAGAAGCACATGACCATACCTAGCTTTTTATATCTACTTAGAGGTTTGAACTCAGACCTTCAAGCTTGTTAAAAAAATGCTGTTACCCACAGACCCAGCTCCCCATCCATTTTTCTTTTTAAAATAAACTTTATTATATCTTAAAAAACAATCACCACCAAACAAACTTTGCAAATGAACATCACACTCTAATATTAATCAAACTCTATACATCTCAGTGAACTATACAATTAATCAGCTTGTAATCAATATTCAAAGATGTGTATTCAGATCATGTAATCAGTACTGGGTCAATAACTAAAAGGCAAAACTGAGGTTATAGCTTGCCTAGCATGCACAGGGCCCTAGGTTCAATATATAGCACCTGGAAGAAAAAGGAAGGGGAGGAGGCAGCAGCAGCCATAGAATCCTGCATGTCTGTCCCTGATCACAGTCATCCTTATTCATAGGTAATCACTAGTCCCATTTTTACACTACCTTACCTTCTTTGCCTTACCCTCATTTTAAACAATTATTTATTTTACATGTATGGGGGTTTTGCCTGCATGTGTATGTATATACCGAGTGTGTGCCAAGTGCTGGCAAAGGCCAGAAGGCATCGTATTTCCAGTGTCTTGAGTTATAGATGGTTGTGAGCTGCCATGTGGGTGCTAGAAATTGAACCTGGGTCTTCTGTAATGACAGCCAGTCAGTGCTGTTAACTGCAGAGCCATCTCTCTAGCCGTGTAAGACTGTAATATACAGTTCCCTGCTCACTTTTCAACCTGCTGTCATTCTTCAATTCCCCCAGTACATTGCTGAGTCAGGGCTTATACAATGTTACTGTGTCCTCTTGACATACCTTCTCCTTGGTATTCTTCACACCTTTACTCTGGATTCCCTCCATTCTCTGAACCCCTCTCTCAAATTTTCTTCCTGGGCTTTGCTGTTCCACTCACTGCTCACAATCATGTGTTGCTTACCTCCCTTGAGTCTCCTTTTCTGACTCCAGACCTTCTCCTGGGCAAGGTTTCAGAACAACGCTTCCAATGCTGACACTTTCCCAAACTTCAGACCCAGACATACAATTGCCTTTAGGCTCTTCTACTTAAGGTGCTCCAGAGGGACATCACCATCTCCCCAAATCTGTTCTTCTACATGCTGGTTTTCCCAAAGGGTACCACATATATTCATTTACCCAGACAAGAAACCTGGGATCCATTCACCTCTCTTTACTCATCAACCATTTACTGAATATCTACTAGGCACTCTTACATAGAGTAAGCAGGCACAAAGCAAACAGAAAATCATAAAAGATAGAGCTGGAGTCATATTGCGTGAGCATGTACATGGACACACACACACACACGCACACACACACACACACACACACACACACACACAGAGAGAGAGAGAGAGAGAGAGAGAGAGAGAGAGAGAGAGAGAGATTGAGATTGAGATTACAAAGACAACAGAAGAACCCTGAGTTAGACTGGGGAATTAAGGGAAGCACCTTAGAAGAAGTGATATACGATAAGAAAATAAACGTTAGCTAAGAGAAGCTAAGGAACAAGGTGAAACCAGAATTAAAACAATTATTTGCTGGGTGCAGAGAGAAAGCAGGTCCTTACCTACATGGCAATGGCTTTGTACAGAGAATGTGCTCTACAAAGCATTTCTGCTCTGCAGCAAGTTCCTGCAAACTATCCTTATCTTCTTCATCTACAAAAGAATGTATTAGAGAAATCAACTGGTGCTCAGACAAACTCCAAATTAAAATGCTGTCATTTGTTAAATGCAATGAATTTTTTGTTTCAAGCCACTGCTTCTCACAGAGGGCACCTTTCTCAAACAGACCCTAGCTGAGGAGTTACTGAGAGCTGCTGGCTGCTGGCAGATGAGGCAGTTTTCATAGGCTGTGGTGAGCTTGTCCTGCTATCTGGTCCCATACTCATGAGAAAGTACGCAACACTATTTGGACTTTTATTAAAAAGGAAAGAAAAGGACATGAAGTTGGAAGAGTTAGGGCTTTGAAGAGTGGATCTGAGAGGAGGTAGGGGAAGGTGTGTGTGTGTGTGAATATAATCAAGACACCACGCATATATGAAATCCTAAAAAATAAAAATATATTAAAAAAGAGAAAACATTTAGTCTGTCATTAAGTATGGCGTTAACTGTTGGGTTTTTATATATAGTCTTTATTTTCTTGAGAAAACTCCTAAGACTAGTTTGCTGATGTTTTTTTGTTTTGTTTTGTTTTAAGTAGTCCAGAGGATCAGAATCAAGGTCTTCTACATTGTAGGCAAATGATCTACCACTGAGCAATATCCCAGCCCTTTTAAATGTTTTTAGCATGAAAAGATGCTAAATATTCTTAATTATTTTAGTACTTCAGAAGAACAATATGTGGCTTTCCCCTTGTATCCCATATGTTATCACATGACAGTGCTGGATGCTGAAGAAAGCTCCATTTCTGCAGTAAATACCACTCAATCTTTTTGTATCTATATTTGCCAGATATTTTTGCCTCTAGTTTGTATGTTTTGTTTGACTTTGGTATCACAGATTGAGGTAAGAGGTGCTATTTTTCTGAGAGAAGCTCATGAAGAATCAATGTACTAAATGGTCTTGGGCAAGTAGTTTCCCTCCCCTCCAGCCAGTTCTAAAGTCCATCCATTTCATCTAGGCCTTCCAACAGCTATGTTCAGTTTTCCCTTAGAATTTTAAGTTTCTGTAAGCCTAACAGTACTCTACCTTTGCTTTCTGTTTCTATCGTAATTTTAGTTTCGCTGTTCTAGTATTTGGTTTGTCTACTTAAGGGTTTATCAGTTCTGATGATGTTCCTTCCAGGGAATGTTTGGTTTCACTAATTCTATTTTTATTTTTTCTTCTCCAAACTAGCTTTTGTCAAAACCTTTGAAATATACTGGGAAATACACAGTATTAGTAAACTTACCTGACCCAAGAAACTTGTGAAGTTTATGAATCCAAGTCAGTCCAACACTGTGCACGCCAGCTTCATGAGTACAGTGGTATCTCGAAGGACACTTGGGATCTGCATGTGAGATCATCAAAGATAAAAAGGCAGCCACTGGAAAAGTGGAAGAATTTACCCCAGTAGCCTACAAACACATGGTGACAGAACTGACTGTCCACAGGATTTTCATGGTTGTGTACTATTGTCAGGGACTTGAAAGTTTTTAATCTGATTTTCAAATTGATGAGTATTAAAAAACAACAGACACAATCTAAATGTTATTTCCTTTTCATACTTCCTTTGAGGTAGTATCTCATTAAGAAGCCCTGGCTGGCCTGACTCAGTATGTAGACCAGGCTGGCCTCAAATCCACAGAGATCTACCTTTCTGTCTGTGCCAGGATTAAAGTTGGGTACCACCATCTCTTCCCATCAAGTAAACCATTTATCCATTTTACATTTACTGAAAATTGTTCAAAGTAAGGGTGGTTGAGAATGAAACTCTACACATACTGTCTTAAGCTCCAACAGCTCAGGACGCAGCAGAAAGATAGCTATCATCCCACCGGGGCCCCTGACCTCTGGAACTGGCCTGTTTTTGGATAAAATCCTGTAGGGCTAAGAGTTTTTGTTTTAATCTCTAAGGATCAGACCCTCTAAAAGAGAAGTAATCATGAACCAAAGGCTGTCCGCTGATGACAACTTGACAAAATCAAAACCTTGGAATCTTGTTAAGAGAAACACACAGGGAATAATGCCCAGAGTAGTCAACAGAAATCATCATAAATATGGAGCAAAGGAAAAACAAAGGTGGAGGAAGGAGAAGGGAAAGAAACTAAAGGAGACACCGAAGACACAAGCAAAGTCAGGGCTGGAAAGATGGTTCAGAGGTTAAGAGTACTGTTGTCCTTCCAGAGGTCCTGAGTTCAATTCCCAGCACCATCTGTAATGATCTGGTGCCCTCTTCTGACCTGCAGGCACACTTGTAGACAGAACACTGTATACATAATAAACAAATCTTTTTTAAAAATTAACAGGCTGGAGAGATGGCTCAGAGGTTAAGAGCACTGATTGTTCTTCGGAGGTCCTGAGTTCAATTCCCAGCAACCACATGGTGGCTCACAACCACCTGTAATGAAATCTGGTGCCCTCTTCTGGCCTGCAGGCATACATGCAGACAGAACACTGTAAACAAAATAAATAAATATTAAAAAAAAATAACAAGCAAAGAGAAGGAAGAGCCATGCCTCAAGAAAAGATCAGCCAACAAATCCTTTGTGGATACTCTGTGACAAGGTTCAAGTTAAGAAAACACTTCATGGTGCAAGAATAAATTTAGTGTCACAGATAAAGAGATATGCCAATGGTTTTAGTCAAAGTGGAGCAGAAGACACAGAAGGCTGTGTATGGTAGTGCAAACCTGTTATGCCAACATCTGGGGAAGGAGAAAATGGAAGCCATGAACTGATCTTACAAAGGACTTACCAATAAACTTACTTAGAAGATAGTAAAATCACACTAAGTAAAACTTCACTAAAGGAACACTGCCTCTGCCAGGTACTTTGAAGATGATGATGCTAGTTAACTGCTGTTTGGGAAAAGCAGGCCGGCTCTATATGGGGAGAACCTTTGACAGGATTTACACTGCAGATTTCTCCATTTGTCTAAACAACCAAATCTTGGAATTTCTGTCTCTGCAAAATATGTTTCACTGTTCAAAGTGTAATATGGTGTGAATCTATGAGAGCTGAGGGGGATTTTCTGCTCAGGGCCAGTTCCCATTTGTGCATTAGCCAGAAAATAGGAATGGTAGCTCTGGGGCTGGCAACGTGGTTCAGCAAGTAACAGAAAAAGGTGTTTGCCACGCAAGCCTGACAACAAGTTCAATCCCTAGAACCCAAGTAAAGGTCGATGGAAAGAACTGACTCTACAGAGTCACCTCCATATATATATGTATTATGGCATTCATGCCCCGATACCATGTACATCCCCTACATTTTAATACATTTCTAAAGATAAGGGGAAAAAATTTTTAAAAAATGGGCTGGAGAAATGGCTCAGTGGTTAGGAGCACTGACGACTCTTCCAGAGGACCTGAGTTCAATTCCCAGTAACCACATGGCAGCATACAACTGTCTGTAACTCCAAGATCTGACACCATCACACAGACAAAACACCAATATGCATAAAATAAAAATAAATTAAAAAAACACCACGATAGCTGTAGAAAACCTAAGCTTGCACACATCTGCTGAGTACAGGACTGGTGCATTATGTGCACTACTACAGCACAGGTATTGAGGAAGACACTGGCACACTGCTCGGGACGTAGTCCCATCATGAAACAATAGGCATTACAAAATAAGATATCACCTCCTTTGAGCCTAGAACCAATCTTACGTTAGCCTGCTGAGGGGCTATGATTACAACTATACCCCACCATATTCCATTATCTTGAAAACCTATTGTTACTTATAAACATTTATCTCTATGATTAAGATATCTTTTTATTTATTTATTTATTTATTATGTATACAATATTCTTTCTGCATGTGTGCCTGCAGGCCAGAAGAGGGCACCAGACCTCATCACAGATGGTTGTGAGCCACCATGTGGTTGCTGGGAATTGAACTCAGGACCTTTGGAAGAGCAGGCAATGCTCTTAACCACTGAGCCATCTCTCCAGCCCCCTTAAGATCTCTTTTTTAAAATTATATTTATAGTATGCATGCAAGTGTATGTGTGTGTATGTATATACCGGGGTATGTATGTGGAAGTTCGAAGACACCTTTCAGAAGTCATTTCTCTCCTTACATTATCTAGGTACTGGGGATCCAACTCAGGTTGTCAGGCTTGGTGATAAGTACCCTTATCTTCTTAGCCACCTAGTCCGTCTTCCCTTTTCTACACAGGGTCTAATGCAGCCTAGACTGGCCTCAAACTTGCTATGTAGCTGAGAATGGCCTTTAACTTCTGATCCTCCTGTCTCTGTTTCCAGAGTGCTGGGATTATAGGCATGTGGCACAACCTGGTTTATGTGGTGCTAGGGATTGAACCCAGACCTTATATATTAGCCAAGTACTTATTGTTAGCCACATCCCCGGCACAGTTAGGATTTTCTAAAACGGGCTAGAGAAGTAGCTCACAGATCAAAAGCACCAGCTGCTCTTCCACCTCATTCAACTCCCAGGGCTCACACAGTGGCTCACAACCTTATGGAGCACCAGTTCTAAGGAATCCAACACCCTCTTTTGGTCTCCACGAATGTGGCACACAAACATACAGGCAAAACACCCATACACATAAAATGGCCCAATCTAATTAAAAAAAGGTTTTCTAAAAGATTAAAATGAAGTAGAAAAATGGGTTACGATTGAGAGTATGTATCGTTCTCCCAGAGGTTCCCAGCATTCACACCGTGTAGCTCACAATCCCTTTTAACTGCAGTTCTAGGAGGCCTAACTTACCTCTTCTGGCACATGTATATGCATACATACACATGCCTTTAAAAAACATTAAAATAGGGCTGGAGAGATGGCTCAGAGGTTAAGAGCATTGCCTACTCTTCCAAAGGTCCTGAGTTCAATTCCCAGCAACCATATAGTGGCTCACAACCATCTGTAATGGGGTCTGGTGACCTCTTCTGGCCTGCAGGCATACACACACAGACAGACTATTGTATACATAATAAATAAATAAATAAATATTTAAAAAAATTAAAGATAAAATACAGAAATAATTTATATAATAAAGTTGATAAGATAGGAACAACAATTCATAACCACTTAAGTTAAAGTTTTCTATTAATAGTCCCACTTTTAAAATTTTGATTTCATAGTTAAGGTAATGCTGTAAAGTTGATGCCATGTTTTCATCTGGTTTATATATATGAGTTCTGATTGATAACTTATAAAAACAGTATGCTACTCTAAAAACTTTCAAAGGTGTTGACTTGGTCATGGTGTCTCTTCACAGGAATACAACAGTAACTAAGACACATGTATCTTTATAAGGAAACAAAATACATCACTTTACTTCACTCTGTGTTCATCTATCAAGTTCATATACTTAATGTTTATGTTGCTCAAAACACTAACTAGACTTGCTTAGTAAATTTTTTTTGCAGGCTTATTTTATAAGGAATACTGTTTTGAACTCACTATTCAATGAGATGGCCCTGACCTCTTAATTTAGGCTTCTGAGTACTGAGATTATGCAGGTTATAAAATCAACTTTTGTTAGCATCAGGAAAAAATCATCATTAAATATCTGAGTGACACCAATGGGGTGACTCAATGGGTAAAGTGCCCACCACACAAGAATGATCCCCAGAATCCATGTAAAATTGAAAGAATTATCCAGAAAGCTGTCCTCTGGTACAACACATACAGACACACAAATACCATACACACAAAATAAATATCTGAGTGGAGCCTGATGAGTATGTTCAAACTTAAATCTGCCTTGGCAAGAATGTGCTATGTAGTAACTGAAAGTCCAAAAGAACCCACAGTGATAACCTTCCAAAAGCTGAGCTCACAGAAATAAACTACATTGCAGTCATTGCTAAGTTAGTATACAATGGGATAAAAGGGCAGTACTTAGTGAATTTCTTACCTCTGTGCAGTTTAATTGGACAGGAAAAGTCAGATGCAAAGGGATCATCCTCTGAAGATGCCAGTTTCAAGGCAAGTTCTAATTCAACACACTCAAACACATACAGAGAAGGGATGAGGTCAACCCTGGGATCCCAGGACTTTTCTGACTGTTAACAACACAAAGGGGGGGAAAAAAGGGACTGAAATTTCAACCTCTCATATGAATTTGAAAATGTACACTAATACAGAAGCAAAAAAAAGCTGGGTCACTTAGCCTTTTCAAATGCTTAATTTTAGCCTTCACACCAATTATTAAACATCTATCTCCCCTATTATCCTTAAACAAAATAACAAAAACAAAAGCCTGGGTTATAGCCAGCCCAGTGATACAGAGGTCTTTACCTCTGTTACTAAGGACTAGAATATAGAGGTCAAGCTGAGTCTGGTGCATGTGTTTAATCCCAGCGCTCAGGAGGCAGAGGCAGACTGATTTCTGTGAGTTCCAGGCCAGCCTTGTTTACATAGAAAGTTCCAAAGGGTACGCAGAGAAATAGACTCTGTCTCAAGAAACCAAAAATAACAACAACAAAAAGAATATAGAGGCCAGAATCACCATTAACAGAGGTGTTAAAAAATTCATAGGAAATTGGGCACACACCTGTAATCTAGCTAACTGGGAAAGTTAAAGCAGGAGGATTTTGAGATAGAGACCACCTTGGCCAATCTAGTAACTTCAAGGCCAGGGTCAGCCACATAGTAAAACACTGTCTAAAAATCAAAGAATAGGGCTTAGAGAGTGTCTCAGAGGTTAAGTGCACTGGCTGCTCTTGCAGACAACCCAAGTCCAGTTCCTAGCACCCACATGACACCTAACAACCACCTGCAACTTCAGTTCCAGCAGATAGATGGCCTTTTCTGAATATGTTTTTTTAAAAATGTAGATCTAAAAGATCAAATAATAAACTTAAAACAAGCATGGTCCAAGCTTTTTGTTCATTATGTATTGGAATGTTTTATCTTCAAGTATGTCTGTGTACCACTTGCATATCTGATGCCCATAAAGGTCAGAAGAGGGCGTTGGATCCCCTGGAACTGGAGCTATCAAATAGTTATGAGCCACCATGTGGGTGTTACAAATTGAACCTGAATGTTCTTGAAGAGCAGTCAGTGCTCATAACCACTGAGCCATCTTTCCAGCCACAAGAGCAGACTTCTGTTTGGAGGATTCAATTTACTGGGGCAGGGCATGAAACCCTTAATACACAGATCAGAAACAAATACAGTTTCATGAACTAGTATGATGGGCATTCTTCTAACTTCTTTCCACTTGAACTTTTTTTTTGGGGGGGGGGCGCTTTGAGACAGGGTTTCTCTGTGTAACAGTTCTGGCTGTCCTAGAATTCACTCTAGACCAGGCTGGCCTCAAACTCAGAGATCTGCCTGTCTCTGCCTCCGATCAGAGTGCTAGGATTAAAGGCGTGCACTACCACCACCCAGCTCCACTTGTACTTTTGATTATTCTTCAACTATTCTTATAGATATGAAATACAGCCAATACTAGCCTGGCACTTACTGTTTGATCGTCTTCTTCTTCCCCTTCTAGTACAACACAGTGATACAGCATTCCTGATTCAGTTGCAATTACTAAGATATTGGGAACACAGGGCAAACAGAGTACAGCACAGGCATCATAACCGTAGTTATCTTCAGCTGCAGGATGCATAGGCAACGGTCCCAACAGCTTCCCAATATTCCCAGGACTAAAGGAAGAATGAAAATGTTATCAAGAAAATGTTGACAGAATTTTTGTCTTCCTTCAGCTACTGTAACTTCAAATAAAGGTCTTTATTTTTCATTTTTCCTACTCACATCCCAATAGTGATTTTGGATCTGAGATAATCTTCCCTTGAAAAGAAAGCAGCAATGCCTGGAGAGACTCCAGATTTGTTTAGTTTCTTCCTTCCTTCCAGACAAAGTCCTATGTAATCTAGGTTGCCTTTTATTTTTGAGCCTCCTGTTACAGCTTCTAGAGCTAAGAAAATGCTTTGAAGACATTGTAGACTGCCACACTGTGAAGTTTGGGGGCATGACAGGCTTCTATTGGTGGTGGTAAGATCAGAGGTTCCTTCCTCAGAAATCACTACCAACACCACCAGAAAAAAACATAAGAGACAGAGGGCTGGATAGGTGGTTCAGTGATTAATAGCATTGGCTATTTGCAGAGGACCTAGGCTTAATTCCCAGCACCCACATGGTGGCTGATGAATGTCTGTAGCTCTAGTTGTAGTGAATGTGATGCCCACTTCTGGCCTCTGCATGCATACGGTACACATACACATATGTAGGCAAAACACTCATACACATCAAATTAAAAAAAAAAAAAAAAGACAGGGTCCCATTACACAGCCCAGTCTAGCCACAAACTCAGAACTGTGTCAGCCTTTGGTGTACTAAATTATTGGTATGTACCACCACATCTAGCCTGGTTTCTATTCTTACCACTCCCAACAACAAAAAGGCAAAATTCACATTAAAAAAAAAAATCCACGCTAAAATAATCAGGGTGTATCAGATAGAAACTTATGCTGCCCCAGGCCTTCCCTGTCCATCTACTCTGCTCAGAAATCACCGTCTTCCAGAACAGAACTCACCACATTCATTACCTAGGACTATAACTCAATCGATTTCACATAGAAGATAATGTTAGCGCTGGGATCTGCTGTTTTACCTGAATTCAACGCTCTAAACCGAGATGTCGAATCACTGAGCCCTGACTAGCACTTGTGCTTATTTACGTACTCTAGTCTGGGATGTCCATGTGACTAAAATGGTCTTACCCTTCCTGATGCTTCATTTAATCCTGCATGACATCAGTCCTCTGCAGAAATTCCCTGAACTCCTGCAGTCAAAATAGTGTCTCCTTCGAGTACTTATTGTGTCCCAGTACTAGGAAATGAGTTCTTAGATGTCATGTGTACATATGCCTTTTCTCTACAGTATCAATGCAAGATATCAGATTTCATCTAATTATACCCATTCTACCTTGTTTATATAAGAGAAACAATGCTTTTTCAGTTAACCAGGCTTTGTGAGCCAAATTTTGTATTTTCTTAAACTATACAACTTCCCTAAATAAACAAGAAAGAGGACAATCAGATAATCTGTACCATTTCTCATCTATACCTGAACACAAAAATGTGGATCTCAAGTTCAACAATGATGATGTGGTGCAGTGGTTACTGCATTAGCTTACTTGTGTAACAGACTGACATAGGTAAGGAAGGTCTCCCCATTCTCGTATAAGATGTACAGTGGATATGCTACTATTTCTTCTTTGCCTTTCTGTCCAAATATATTCTTCGACACTGTTGCCAGTGGCCCAAAGTCAAATGCAACTGCAGTCTCTCCTAGAGATGCTGTATATGCCCGTCTACAAATAGATTTGAGAAAGTTTGTTGAAAACAAAATTATTATTATGAAGAATAAACAAATTCTCATAAAAACTAGAGGAAAAACTTAATTTTGAAATAGTTTAAATACAGACATACAAACAACACATATAGAAATACAAAAAGAAATGGAATCCATGAAAACCATGTGAACACAAATTTATTTATTCCACAAACATTTACCACTTACTATGCGCCATGCACTGTTCTAGATCCATAAAATACACCAGCAAATTAAAGAAAGACTTTGCTTTCTAATGAGAGAGAAAAAATAAACAACACATTCAGGAAAATTTTTTGTTGTTGTTGTTGTTATTTTTGGTTTTATTAAGACAGGGTCACACACTATAACCCAGGCTGGCCTTGAACTGGAACAATCCTTTTGCCTTAGCCTTCTGAGTGCTGAGATTACAGGTGTATGCCATTTTTTCTTGAAAGAGAGTAGTGTTATAAAGAAAAACGAGGGTCAAAGAGTGTTTGTAGGAGTGCTGTGTAAAGTAGCCTGTGTGGTACAGAAGGACTGTGACAAGTTGACACCTGAGTAAAAAGCCTGAAGAGGAAGGGAACTGGTCTGTCATCTGGGAAGGAGCAGCAAAAACACAGTAACACACACCAAAGGTCTACGGTAGATAGTGATGTTTAAGGAATGGCAAAGAAGCCAAGGTGTTGGGAGCCTGGTGAGCAAGGTGGAATGGAAGTCAGGGGCATCAGACAGTCCGGGGTAAAGAAATGGAAACCAATGAGGTGTGGAAAACAGGGAGGTTGAGTGATCTTACTGAAAGGGAAGTAAGTATTCCTTTGGCTGCTGTGTTGAAAGCAGGGTACAGATTACAAAAGATGTCCACTTTCTCCATAATACATTTTCCTATTTTTCCCAAATAGATATACATTACCTGAATAGTCAAAAAGGACTAAAAAACCATGGTGCCTATGTATATTAAAATTTGGTATTATTTGTTACCCCAAATGATTCTTGTTTAACAAAAGGTTAATGAATATGGTTAGATCACAACAAAAACTTAACATAGTTTAAATAATCAACACCACCGAAAGGTATAAATACCATGGAAAAGTAAATGGTAACAGAAGATGAGAAATATCAAGATAATGGAACAAATAGAAGTTAATAAAATAATTCCTAAGTCACTAAACTGAACTGAAGCCTCATTATATCTATTCCCAACCCTCAGGAGGCAGGAAGGTTGTTACAACTCTGTTGCTAGTCTGGGCTACACAGTGAGTTTAGGTCAGTTAGAGCTACAATGTAAGAGCCTGTGTCCAAAAATAAATTAAATAAATAAATAAAAAATAAAAACAAAAAGGAGGACCTGGGGTAAAAGTGCTTGACTTCAAGACTGACAGTCTAAGTTGACCCTTGTGATACTCATGGGAGAAGCTGGAGAAGCTGAGATCTGACTTCTTCAAGTTGGCCTCTGGCCTTCACATACATTGAGGCACGAGTGCACACATGCAAACAACATGAGTGTATGTACACACACAGTAAATAAATAAATGAAAGACAGACTGGCTGGCTGATAGTAAGCAGGTAATAATGAATACTCTGTGCCAACACAAATGCCAAACAATGTTTTATTTTTGATATGAGGGGTCGAACCCAGGGCCTTGCGCATGTTAGATAAGTGCTCTACCATTAAGTTATACTCTATGTTGTGAGCACTTTCGAATGAATGGTCCCATTCACTCTGTACAATAATCCTAAGAGGCCAGGTGGTGGTGGCACATGCCTTTAATCCCAGAACTCGGGAGACAGAGGCAGGCACATCACTGTGAGTTCAAGGCCAGTCTGGTCTACAAGAGCTAGTTCCAGGACAGACTCCGAAACTACAGAGAAACCCTGTCTCGAAAAACAAAAACAAAACAAAACAAAACAAAAGCAAAAATCCTAAGAAAAACTGTGTTCCAGTCAATTTTTTTTTTTATATTCACAGAATGTAGTCACAGAAACGAAGTTTAATAAAATTAGAAAACTTTCCTAGATGTCATAGCAGGCAAGTGGTGAAGCCTAGACTGGGACCAGGCAGGCTGACTAATGCCAGATTGGAGTTCTTAACACTGTATTTGCTCTACTGCCCCTTTATATGCATACTGTGCCCGTCAAAACCAAACAAAACCCTATTCCTAACCAGGTTATTCCAGAAACACTACAAGACAGAAAGTGCCCTGACTCAAGAACAGGATTAACCTCTGGGTTAGGTCCTGCCCTATTATGGAAATGAATGCATTGGAATTTAAGCTGCTGCTGAATTTCTTCACATCATTTAAGTGAAACTTTCAGTGCTGGGACAACCAGGGAGTAAACAGTCCTAGCCGTAGCAACCCCCGGTTCTTAGGAATAGACATAAATCCATTCTGGAGAAATATACCAACAATTCAGGCTCTCAATATCCCCACACTTCATGATCAAGTAAATATAAATTCGCAGTAAGAGACCCTCACTGCAAGGAAAGCAACCAACATGACTTGGTGAGGAAAAAAACAAACACAGATTTAAGTATATCACTAACACTCCTATTAGGACTTTCAAATATTGCAAGTATCAAATACAGGTTGGGTGGTGGTGGCACATGCCTTAATCACAGAGGCAGGTGGAAACCCTGTCTTGGAAAAAAAAGTATCAATACAGAATAAAGATGCATAAAATGTTCAAGAAATTATATTTAGAACAAGAAAAACTAAACATGAAGATAACTAAATGGAAATTCCAAAAAATCTTAACACTAGTTTTCATTCTCAGCATACACACTGTATTTGACTACGTGTAGTGCTCATCACAAAGACTGATCAGGAGGCAAGAGGACTGGGTTTTGCAAGTGCAAAGGATGATTCCATTAAAAGTAAGCCAGGACATGTAGTAGGTAAGAAAACAAAACAAGTCAGGAGCACAAGATAACCAGAAGGACAGGCATAGAGGTGCACACTTTTAATCCCAGCACTAGGGAGGGATTACATACATAATATGAGTAAATACATAGTAGCAAATACGTAGGTGGATCTCTGTGAGGCTAGTCTGATCTACAGAGTGAGTGCCAGGACAGCCAGGGCCATGTAAAGAGATCTTGTCATAACACAACAAAAAACAGTAATCAGAAGGACTGAGTCTATTCAATTCCAGATGCTGGAGTTTGGCAATCTGCCTTACTCACAGAGTGCACTGGTAGGCCTCCAGCCCAACACATTTTCACGATTTTTAGAACTGTACAATTTTATGATGTATTGCTTCTGCCAGTCATATTTTAGAATTCTCTTAAAAAAGAGATCAAGTTACAATGACAGATTTGTGACTTGTTCTATTACCACATGCATGTTAAAATCCACCTGTGGAAGTTCTGGTAGTTACTGGTGAAACTGCAGTTACATTCTTAATAAACTCAGCATTTTGTGAAACAAACAAAACTTACCCTTTATTGAGTATTAAGCTTTCCTCTTCTGCTTCTGAAAGTACAATCACCTTTGTAGGTGTTTGAGGTTCACGGAGAGAGTAAATTCTAACAGTCAAAACAAAACAAAACAAAACAAAAAAGTATTTAAGTTCTCTTTGATGCTAGACAGGGTAGCTTGCACTGTAATTCTATCACTTGGGAGAGGCAAGAAGACCATGAGTACTCTAGGCTACATTTACAGACTAGTATGAGTTAGAGTAAGACACTGTCTCGTCAAAACAATAAAGTTCTCTTTCTTTCCAAAAAAAAAAAAAACTCACGCCCCAATCTACTCAGTTCTTAAGTATTTTTCTACTAGGAGACATAGCTCAGCAGTTAAGAGCACTTGTTCTTGTAGAGGACCTGGGTTTGATACACAGCACACACATGGAGGCTCAGAACTGTTTGTTAACTCCAGTTCTGGGGGGAGCTGTCCCCTTCTAACCTCCTTGGGCACCAAGAATGGAAGAGGCACAAATACATACACACTAGCAAAACACCCATACATGTAAAATAAATCTAAAAATGTTAAAAAGAATTTTCCTACCAGTTCTCAAATCACCTTTTTGCCAAAGATCTTGCTATTTCTGACAATGTTGCCTATTTCCTGTTTAACTATGTAGAAAGGGAGCTTATGACCCAAAGAAATGCACTCTATTTTTAAAACATTTTGGGGGGGGTAAGGGACGGGTAACAGTGTTAGGGATGGAACCCAAGGCCTCAAGCATAAGCAATTAACCACTGAGCTACATTCCCCACACCTTTAGTCCTACAGCAATTTGACATGCCAAGCTTTGCTGATACCCATGGGAGGTCTGCCCCTGTCTGAACAGAAACAGAGGAGGAGTTGATATGGAAGAAGGGGGAATAGGAGTAGGCATGCCTTTAATCCCAGCACTCAGAGGCAGAAGCAGGTGGATCTCTGTGAGGTCAAGGCCAGCCTTGTCCACATAGTGAGACACTCTTTTCTCAAAGGAGAGAAAGAGAGAGAGAGAGAGAGAAATTACAACACTCAGTGACTTACTTGTGTCATTCTGAGCAACTATTTAGTAAATACATAGTAGGAAACAAAGCTTTTCCATTCACAAAGCAAACTAGGGAAGGTAAAGGTCACCTTATCACATTGTCCGATGTCAACAGCACTATGTGGGGATCCAGCATCTCACTTGGATACCATGCAGCATGTTTCAGAGTCAGAGAGGTAGAGCTGGTGAAAAATCGCTCAGCAATTGGTGTGGTACTAAAATAAAGAAAACGATCTTCAAACCATTTGTCTGTAGAACTTGGATAAAATACATTCTAACCTATTTTAACACTGTCCCTTTCCCTCTCCTGTCATTCTGACAGCATTCAAAGAACCTACCCAAGAAACCAAAGTGCAAATACTTTCTACATTATAGTAATATACTTTATACATTTTGGTTTTTCTAGTTCAGACTGGACTTTGCTATAGAGCCGTGGTTGGGGCTGACCCTCACGATGTATCCCATGCTTGCCTTGAACTCACAGCAAGCCTCCTGGCTCAGTATCCTGAGGGCTGGAATTACATTTGTGTATTGTCACACCCATTGTATATAGTTCTTTACAAATATGTTTTGATATTGCTTCTTTTTTGGTCTTTTTACTAATCAATGTAGTAAGGAAACTATAAGGGCAGATATTTTGATGATTATTCTGAAAAGAAACGGCAATCTAAATATTATTAAGCAATTCAAGCAGACTCAACTCATGTTATGGAGATAAAGGTAAATCTAGGTTTCTACTTCATTCTTTTCAGTAGACTTTCTAGATTCCTACTTTCCTGGATTTTTATTTTTTAATGTATGTGTGTGTGTGTGTGTGTCTGTGTATAAAACCCTGAAAGCTAGGCATCACATTTCTGTAGTCCCAGCACCCGCAGCCCTGGGAGGGTGCAGCGGGGAAGGCTGATCCTCGGCAGGCTGTTACACTAGACATTAAGATAGCCACACTCTTTTTTCTGAAACCTGGAAGAAGTCATGAGCCTTAACTTAGATGTTTGTTTTCTTTCTGTGATTGAACGTCTAGCAGCTGACCAACTGATGTAATTTTAGGGCACGAGTAGCTTATGGTGCATTTATGATGTCATAATATGAAGTGCAATGACCAGAAAATGACCCGACATAAATGATGTCTCGGAATGCAGATGTTACTCAATAGACAAATCCTTAATCCACACGTTTTACTTCATTTTGTGAACAGTTCTTAAGCTCACACACCTAACTGCAAAATTGCAGCCATATCTGTAAAAATAAAGGACTGATATTGTTTCTTGTAATTACAAATAAATATGAATTCAGTATTCTTCAAAAATAATAACAAAAGGAGCTGGGAAGGTGGCTTAGTGGTTAGGAACATCTGCTGCTTTTACAGAGGATCCAGGATTGGCTCCTAATACCCTCAAGGCAGCTCACAACCATCTGTAACTCCAGTTCCAGGGAATTTGACACTCTCTTCTGGCCTTCTGGAGTACCAGGCACAAAAGCAGTGTGCTTACATAAATGAAGGCAAAACACTCATGTACATTAAAAAAAAATGGTAACAACAATAGCAACACAGGAAGGCAGTTTGCAGGACCACACGGACACTCAAATGATCCAACAGTAGGACCCAAAATACATTTCAACAATCTCTGGCCTTAGCAACTTACACAGTTAAACACGAAACAAAAATATAACTTACCTACAATTCACAGTTGCTTTCCCACCTTCGAATTCTGAATCCTTCCCCCATCGCTGAGGTAATTCTAATGCCATGAGTCCTTTTGTTCCTATGAGTGCTACATGATGTTGCGTTGGACTTAACAAGACTTGATGAATTTCAAACAGGGGTGGATTTATGCAAAGTAATCTCTGAAAATTAAAGTAATTTAGTAAAAATAGTTAATTTTAATGTTAATATATTTGGGAGTTGCATGAAACCATGATCATGCTTTAATTTTCTTTCTTTTTGTCATGCTTAATTTTCTATAGTTACAAAATAACAGCATTCTGGGTAACACACACACACACACACACACACACACACACATGAAGTCTTAGAGCTAGAGAGATGGTTCAATGGTCAATAAGAAGCACTGGCTACTCTTCCAGAGGACTTCAATTCCTGGCACCATTTTCTAGCCTCTGTGGGTTCCAGGCACACGGATAGTACATGCACACATATACAGAAAAAAAAATGCATACATAGAAAACTAAAAACAAACAAAAAAAGTGTTGACACATGCCTTTAATCCCAGAACTTAGGGAGGCAGAGGCAGCAGGACCTCCGAGTTCAAGGCAACTAGTCTACAGAGTGAGTTCCGGGACAACCAGGGCTACAGAGAGAAACACTATCTCAAAAAACAAAACAAAACAAAACAAAACAAAACCCCCAAACAAACAAAACACAAAAACCTGCCCCATCACTTAACATAGTAGGCACTACTTGAGATTTGTTTTTCTTCTCTATTCCTGGCTTCAAGCAGACTTTTAATACTTAGAGAATAAATTAACTTTTGAAGTATTAATAAAAGATAACCATTTTATAAACAGTACTGTAGAATAAAGACTAGCTTCAGGCCAAGTGTGGTGGTGCACACCTATATTCTCAATACTGGGGAAGAAGATAAAGGTGGTTCTGTTTGAGTTACAAGCCACCCAAAGTTACAAAGTGAAACCCTAGATCAGCTTCAAAAGTTCTGTAGCAAGCTGGGCGGTGGTGGCACACACCTTTAATCCCAGCACTCAGGAGGCAGAGGCAAGCATATCTCTGTGAATTTGAGGCCAGTCTGGTCTACAAGAGCTAGTTCCAGGACAGGCTCCAAAACTACAGAGAAACCCTGTCTCGAAAAACCAAAAAGAAAGAAAGGAAGAAAGAAAGGAAGAAAGAAAGAAAGAGTGATATTTTAAGGGAGTTCCAATAATTTGTCACAGCCTTGTACATCCTCAAAAATACATTTACACTGGTACTTCCTATTTCTTTTCTCATGACCATTTCAGATTTCTATTTTCTTTTCTTTTTACTCTTAGTAAATGATGATAAATAAGATTGTCAATATATTATTTACCTTTGTATGGAGAATCATGCTAAGCCAAAATCATTTAAGATAGTTTTTTTTTTTTTAATATAAGGAGATTTCCAATTGCTTTTCTATCTGTAGGTCAGTGTGCCTTTAAATGCCTGTTGCAGAGCTGGGCAGTAAGGGTACACAGCTTTAATTCCAGCTCTGATCAGGATCTGCCTGATCTCTAAGTTCAAGGCCAGCTTGGTATACAAAGCAAGTTCCAGGACATCCAGGGCTGTTGCACAGAGAAACCCTGTCTTCAAAAACAAAACAAACAAACAAAAAATAAGTCACCAAATATTATAGAGCTCTTGCATGCTCTAGGTTTATGTCAAGCACTGGACATAAAAAATAAGGTATCAACACACACACAGGCCTGGCACATGCGTGTGTGCTCTCTCTCTCTTACACACACACACACACACACACACAGAGAGAGAGAGAGAGAGAGAGAGAGAGAGAAAGAGAGAGCGCGAGAGCGAGCCTGGTTCAAACCTGTAATCTCAACACTTGGAGACTGGGCAGGAGTTCCAGACCAGCCTGGGTACATAAATAATTCCATACCAGAGGAAAAAAATCAAAAGAAAATAATTACTTGAAATAATGTATGAATTTCTGATACTTATTCTTACTGGGAATTTTACAGCAGGTAGATGTGTAACGCTGCTCTCGTTTCTCAACAGCATTGGCAGCACCTTGTTAAAATCAAATCACTTCTCAACATGAACCAGTCCAGGGCACACAGCAGATCTCATACACTGGAATGAACGTCACATTTTGGGGTTTTTTTGTTTGCTTTCTTGCTCCTTTTTCGAGACAGGGTCTCTCTATGTAGTCCTGGAATTCGCTATGTAGACCAGGCTGGCCTCAAATTCAAAGAGATCCTCTTGCCTCTGTTTCCGAAGTGCTGGGACTAAAGACCTGTGCCACCAGTCTTGGTTTAAAAAAGTTTTTAAGGAAGGAGCAAGGTAATTTTGCTTGTTTTGTTTTCGATTAATTTGGGAGGGGGATATGCTACAGGGATGTGAGGCAGATTTGGAGGGATCAGGAAGTGATTGGGTTGGGGTACATGATGTGAAATTCCCAAAAAACCGAATAGAAACACACACACACAAAATGTATACATACACACATATACTACTGAGGGAGAATCTGTTTACTACAAACGAACACTTCAATAAAGCACAGCAAGTCTAGAATGTATTCTGATTATATCAGCTCTCACATGCCTTTCATCGGCTCATCAAAACAAAATGCTTTGCAGACATAGTTGAGAGCTGGAACTCCTGTGCTTCTCGTGGTGGAGGTGAAGGTGTGTGTGCATTCCCCCTGCGGGCAGTTCATGGGAGTGTGGGCAGTTCATGGGAGTGCGCGCGTTGGTTCCCTGCACTGTAACAAACGAACATGCCCTTCCAACTTTAGTGAGCGCCCCAAAGGGCAAAAACAAAACGAAATACAGGGACACCTTTTTTCATGTAAGGCAGGTAATTTGGTCCTTTAAAAATCTGTCTTAAAGCTCAGAATCAACTAAAAGAATGTGTCACATCTTTTAAATGGGCTCTTTGGGCCAAACAACGAAAAACATTTGCACCAACTTCTTTGTCCTGTCTTCCTCAGAGCGCCCATCATTCACCATTTCACGGTCCTCTTCCCCCCGCCCCCCGACACTCAGAACCAGCAGGAGTTCCTCTGGGTGCCTGGCAGCTACCGAGCAGAGGACACAGGACAGACGGGCTTTTTCACCCGAAGCGGGGTATCCCCGAAAGACGCCTGCTCAAGTCCGCGAGCGCACCCACTACAGGGCCAAACCACCAAGACGGGAAGATGCGAACCCGAAAGTTGACTGAGATGCCAGCTAAAAGTCGCTTCCGAGACGGACTGGCGCACCTGGTACTGGGAGAGAGGGGGCTCCACGGCGCCACCGCTCGGGCCTCGAAGGCGAACCACCAAGAAGGCGCTGCCTTCTGCGTCCCAGAGGAAGAGCTCCCCTCCCAGGCCAAAGACCAAGTTTCTCGTCAGCAAATGCGGCGGCAGAGGCGGGCACGAGGGCGAAGTCGAAGTCGCTGGTTTCTCCGCTTCGGCCTGACTCTGGTTTTTCAGGCCCTCGCGGAGCCGCAGGAACACGACGTGGTTGGGAAGCCAGCTCTGCCACAGCTCCCCATCACCCACAGATGCCTCGGCCGCCGCCATCTTGAACTGACAGCTCGTGGTTCAGGGCCTGCAGCCCGCCGCGGCGCGTAGCCAATCCGCGACCAGCACTCCGTGGCTTCAGCCTATCAGCGTGTAGGAATCCCCAGGGCAGGCATCACTAGCGGAAAGCCCATCTACCGCTCCGCAGACCGACGCCAGAGTGGGCGGGGCGGGGTCCACCACCTCGCTGGTTTAGGGCGGGCTTTGAAAGGCCGGCGCGTAGGATTAAGAATGAGACCTGTGTAGCTAATTGTCTACTGACGCCTCCCTCTGGATGAACCCAGAACTTTTTCTCAAGACTCAACTCCCTCAGCCCAGGTGCTGTCTACTTCTCAACTGTCACTACTTCATCCATCCTTGGATTTCCCTAAACCTGTCTCTGTGAGGCGAGAGGCACTAGAAACAGTTCCAGGAAAGCCTTACGACCTAAAACTACAACTTCCAGAATCCTTTGCGCGCGGCTAAGGGGCGGGGATTCCGGAGCCGTCTCCCGCTAAGAGATGGCTGAGTCCTCGGGGTCACCGCACCGCTTGTTGTACAAACAGGTGGGCTCACCTCCCTGGAAAGAAGCTTTCAGGCAGGTGAGTGTGAGATGTGGATCGTAATCACTTCCCTAACTGGTCCCAAGGACCGTTGTCCTCTGTGCCCTCGCTTCAGCCCTGGTCGGTCGTGAAGCAGATGACCGGAGCGCCTGGCCAGCGAGTTGTTTCTCGAACTCAAGACCACTGCCGCAGCACCGGTCCTGGCCACCACCCGCTACCTTTCGGGCTTTTGGCTGGAGTGAGTGCTATCCCAGGAAGCTTTTGAATTCGAGTTTGTTTGAGAATTTAAGTGTCATGACATCGGTAGCCTTGATGTTGGGTTACAAAGAGAAGCATTTTGTATGCATGCGTCGTGTGAGATAGAAGTTATTTCTCTTCTAAAAAGCCAGAAGAATCTCGGTTACTTTTAGGAGAGTTGTACTTAAGCTCGGGCCTCCTTTGAAGCCAAGTAGTTCCCTCTAAGAAATAGCTTATCTCCCTGCTCAGCTCTCTGAAGGGGTGGGTATAGTCTAGAAAAGCAATCGTAGTGCTGGAAATAGTGTGTGTAGTAGGGGTTCTCAACCGTGAATACTGACATTTTGAAGAAGAAAGTTCTGTTATGGGAAGTTATTCTGTACAGTGTAGACCACTTAGATGCAGCATCCTTGAACCACCTACTTATATGACCTCAGCCAGTAGCAGTTCTACAAACAGAGCTGTGACAACCAAAATGTTCTCTTGAGTTGGGGCTGGAGAGATGGCTAAATGTTAAGAGCACTTACGCTCTTGCAGAAGACATGGTGGCTGTAACTCCAGTTTCAAGAGGTCCCCCCATTGTCAATCTTCTGGCCTCTGTGGGCCCCTGCACTCATGCTGTGCACATAAACTCCTACAGGGGACACACACACATCATCATCATCATCATCAGGGTTGAGAAGTACTGTTGTACAAGAAGATCATGTCTATAACCATATGTACAGTAGCAGGATTTGAAACCATATAAATGTCTGACGTCAGTCTGTTTTTGCAGTGACTATGCACCCAATGCTTGCATTCAAGATAGATATGAAATATAGGAATTTGGAGGTTCATGAGCAAAGCTCACTGTAATTTTACCTAGCTGTGTGTGGATGAGGACTCAAAAATATGAAACTTTGTATCTAAAATTCTTTTATTATTTTACTAACTGACTGGAGGGTGTTCCCCCTTTCTTTTTGGTGGAATTGACCTTTTCTTTCTCTTACAATTCTGACCCAGGGATGTCTGGAGAGAATGAGAAACAGCCGGCACAGGCTCCTGAACAAGTACCGCCAGGCTGCAGGTGGCAACCCAGGGAGAGCCTCAGACAAGTTTCTTGTGCAAGAAGTGATGGAGGAAGAGTGGCATTCTTTGCAGTTGGTAGAGAATTGTCCGGAGGCCTTGGTTCAGGTCAGGCAAGGAAAGGATCTGTAGCTAGGGGGTACTCCATGAAGAACTGATGATGTCTTCCTGTCTGTCTGTCTAAGTCTTTTGAACCTACCCACTTCCCAGCCCCCACACATAATTCTAACAGCCTTTTGGTTCAGGCTTTTCTACTTTTGAGTAGGTTATTTTATATTGATGATTCTGTAAAACTAGACTGTAGGTGTGCTACAGCCTTGTAATGAAACTAAACTTATGAAGCTAAAGGGAAAGAAAATGTCATTCTTGCTTTCCCCTTTGGAAATTTTGACTCACTATGATTGTGTTAGAGACTTCCCTTTGAAAAGGATGACTACAGCAACATTCTGATTCCAGCCAATTAAAGTTTAGAGTTGTGTGTCCATAGAAAACCATTACAGTGTATCGGACAAGGCTATGGGGAGGCGTCAGAATTTAGGGATTCTGTTTAGTTTTACTGAATCACAACTTCACCGAGTTTCTTTGAGCCGTAGTTGTTACATTTGCAGAAAATAAAGACGATGACATGAGCATTTTGAAAATTGTATAACAAAACATGGAAACCTTTGAAACCATCCGAGCACTGTATAGTAATGATGCATCTTCAGGGGCATCTGTGTGTCCTTCATTATGCTATGCTAAACGGTGAGTGGAACATCACCACAGTTAGTGCTTCAGAAGGCCTCTCAGGTCTTAGTCCAGCTTTGCAGAAGCTAAAATAGCTTTTCACAGACTAGACCTTTCCTCCTGGCCAGTCTTAGGGCCTTCCCTTAACTGCTGCCTGATTTCATCTCCCTTCAATTTGGCGGTGGGCACTCTGATCATCTGTTGTTAGTGTAGCATGGCCATGCTACTATACTGCCAGCCAATTCTGCATGATTACAGTACAGTTTCGCCAGGTAAATTTGGGGTCTTCAAGGCAGCTTCCAGTTACAAATCCCCATGGGACTTGGTGGCCAATTAATACTTCACATGGACTGAGACACCCCTTTCTGCTCTGTCTGTCTGTCTGTCTGTGCCATGCTCAGAAATCAAGCCCATGCTCTTGCATGCTGGGTTAGCGCTGCTCTGCTGAGCTCTACTCCCTCCCCTCGCTTTCTCTTGTAGTTGGGATTGCCAGAGGACCTAGCCGTGCTGCAGGACATCGAACAGGAGCTGTGTGATGAAGGTAATCCCAGGGTGTGGTCCTTTCCTCCCTAATGTGCACCTACTCTTGTGCTGGCCTTTCCTCGACTCAGGATTGGTTTTGTTGTTTTAGATTGTCTGGGTACTAGGGATTAAACCTAGAGCTTTGGACATGGAGGCAAACAATAAAGCTATAGCTCCAGCCCTAGGATTAGTTCTTAATTACCATTCTTCTACCTCCACCATAAGTTTAAGTGTCCAGAAGTCTCTCTGAACTCCTCATTCTTGTCTGTCTTCCCAACAGTAAGGGCCATTGGCTCTGTGTCGGGAACTTCTCATTCCACGATACCATTTCCTCCATCTGACTGCTGTGGAAGATGGGATTAGACAGAATAGCAAACACTATCCTCACACAGGTCACATAGCTAGTCAATGGTAGAGCTGGGAAGCAGTTCCCATGTTTATTTTATCCTGCCTCTTGCGATTTTGTTCAGCTGAACACTGTGGCTTGTGCCTATACGATGTGTGATTTAATGTAGGAGGTTGGGTTTTTCAGGAAGAAGTCTGAGCCCTCTAGTTTCAGACTAGCCAGGGTAGCATAACAAAACCTGCCTCTTGAATAGTAAACTTGTCTCTTTGCATACATGGACAGATCTTTTCGTACACACCCCAGGGCCACCTCTCATCCATTCTTTATTGGTTGCTCAGGAATTTGTGAGCATCTGCCTCTTGAGATTCTGATATCGTTGTGTGGCATACATTGTTTGGCATCTTATATCATGGTGACTTATTCCATATGGCTTTTTCTTGACTGGGTTTCACATTTATCTGTGAAATAGAGATAATAGAGCTGCTCTATGGGTACAGGACAATCCTAGGCCTTTTGCCTTGCAGAAAAGTCCATCATAAGCGAGTATGAGAAGAGTTTACAGTTTGATGAAAATTGTCTCAACACCATGTTGGCTGAGTGGGAAGCAAACCCCCTCATCTGTCCTGTGTGTATAAAGTAAGAATTTTTAAAATTTTTTTAGCAGTATTGGTTCTCATCCCTACTCCAAAGTGAGTGTGATCTCTCTGCCCCTTAGTTGATTGATGAGAGGTATAGGGAGCCAGGTCTTGTTACCACAATGATCTGGGAATCCCAATTCTGTCTCTAGGTACAACCTGAGAATCATGAACAGTGTGGTCACGTGTCCGTGTGGCCTGCACATTCCATTTCACGTAAGTGTCCACACAGATTCCCTATATACACCGACTATATTAAAGAACCTCTGGTGGTGGTTCAGAGTCAGTTGTGCACATCTGTGCCAGTTACTTATTGTCACAGACAAGGTACCCAGCAGTAATAACCCGAGAGTTTATTTTGGCTTATGATTTCAGAGGGGTCAGTGCATCACGGCAGGAAAAGTGAGGCAGAGTGGCTCCATGGAGGTGAAAAGCAGGACTCCCCAGCATTTTGGCTAATAGGAAACAAGACCTGTTCCTAGTAGACCATGTCCACCAGATAAACTTCCTGTGCTTTGCATGAATGTATGTCTGTGCACCACGTGTATGTCTGGAACCCTGGAAGTAAGAAGGTGGTGTTGGATCCCCTGTAACTGGAATTACACGTGGTTGTGAGCTGCCATGTGGATACTGTCAGCCCAGGTCCTCTAGAAGATCAGCAAGTGCTCTTAACCACTGATCCATCTCTCCAGATCCCCATTTTTGAGGCAGAGTCTAGTAGTAGCCCAGGCTGGCCTCAAATTCAATTGTAGTTCAACTTCTGATCCTTCTTACGTCACCTTCATTTGGTCTTTCTACCGTGCTGGGAGTGAAGTACAGTTCCTCGTGCTTGCCAGCACCCGAGCTATATCCCCAGCTCAACAATCTAAGGCTCCGAAGAATCAAACTGTTTTGATTGGTGATTTAGGTTTTTTTTTTTAACCTGTTGGTTTTTCAGTATTTAAGATTAGTTGGGG